TGAACTTCATTCTTAATACGTTTCTTCATGGTGAATTTTAACATAACTTGCGAATAACACAACGGAAAGATGAAGAGCATGTGTAACCGTTTAATTTTGCACGAAGGACAACATACTTGGATATCATAAAGAGATTTAAAATTACATCATAAAATTAATTGGTAATATAAAAAATAACTCAACTTATTTATAAACTTAAGCAAAACCCATCATATTATAGAATTCATAACATTTTTTACCCATACCACACTAATATTATTATTATCATTTTATTAAAAAAAGAAGTCTATGTCAACAAAATGTGTCGTTGTGGACCCTGCCTTTATACAAATATGGGTCCCCCTTTGCGAATTTAATAGGTCTATCATGTTAGAAATTGGAATAGAAAGTTGGAGGCAGAGAGGGAGACAGAGGTAGCAATAATGGTGGTGGTGTGCATAGGAGGGGCATTAGGGTTCAGCCTTGACTTAGATGTTCCGTGTTCATCCCGTACGAGACAACATCCCCTCCCACTCTCCTCCACATGGGTGGTCTCACCCATTTACCCCAAAACCTACGTACATGTAGACATATAGTTGTTTAGTGGGTACCTGACTCTTGGGCTTTGGGTTGATTCACTCATTGAATATTTAGTTTTACACTTAGGGTCTGCCTCGTAAGTGAGTTTAGGAATACCTCGGTTACACCGTTATGGGAGACTATAGAGTCGTGGTCCATCTAGCGTAAAAGACGATTAGTTATGAAAATCACTGAGAGATAAATCTGCATGTATTGTTTCGTCCAAAATTGTGGGTTCCAACTGCCATTGGTTACCATCATCAATCACCTCGGAGTGTGCTTTGATTTCCCCCAAGGGAACCATGTCTTCTTTCATCTCAGGTTCGGCAGTAGGCTGCTGCTCTGTGGCCTGCAGCTCGGTGATAAGTGGTTGTGCAACAACTTGTTGCTTGGTAGTGGGCTGCTATGTAATAGCTTGCTGGTTGGCAGTGGGTTATTGTACAATGGTTTCTTCCTCGGTTCCATAATTAAACATTCAAACTTCATCGCCTTGAAACTCACCCTGAAATGAGGACTCAGAGGAACCAAAATACATCTCCTTTTCATGGAAAGTGACATTGATAGTGATAAACAATTTCTTGGTTTGAGGGTGATAGCAACGATAACCCTTTTGAGTAGTAGTATACCCCATAAAAACACAATGAAGAACTCAAGGTTCTAGTTTGTTTTGCCAGTTGGGATGAATGCATATGGACAAAAGCCACGCATCCAAGGACCCACGAGGGAAGGTTAGGAACTGGTGGACAATTTGTCAGAGATAAATGGGTTTGGAATGATGTCTGAAAGTCTAGGGTACGAGACGGAAGTCGATTAATAAGATAGACAGTAGATGTGAGTGCCTCACCCCAATAGTGTATTAGAAGATGGGCCTCAAGAATAGAAGCACGAACCACTTCTAACAAGTGTTTATTTTTCCGTTCAGCCACCCCATTTTGCTAAGAGGTGTACGGACACGTAGTCTGATGAACAATACCGTGCATATCAAAAAATGTGTGAAATTTTGAATTAATGTACTCACCTCCATTGTCGTTGCGAACCATCTGAATATTCATATTGTACTGTATCGAGACCATTTTGTGAACTTTTGAAAGGCCATAGTATCATCACTTTTTTATTTTAACAAAGTAACTCAAGTCATTCTTGTACAATCATCAATAAATGTGACAAACCAATAAGCCCCACTAACATAGGTAATTTTCGAAGGGCCCCAAACATCAGAGTGTACAACCATAAAAGGAATAGAACTCTTATTTAAACTTGGAGGAAAAGAAGTTCGATGGCTCTTAGCCATTTCACATACATCACACTTAAATTGAGAAACATCATTTTTCACAAACAAACTAGGAAATAACTTATGCATATAACCAAACGAAGCATAGCCGAGACGACGGTGCCACATCTAGATGTTGGCCTCTTTATTAGTCTCTGGTGGAGTCCCATTCACTGACAATGCTTGAGTGAGCAACCCCGAACTACTAGAATTTAACTCGAGGAAATACAGCTTCCTTCGTCTAATACTATAACCAATCATCTTTTGCGTCTAGATGTCCTTAAATACACAAAAATAAGGCCAAAAAACAACCAAACAGTGTAAGGTAAAGGTTATTTGGGCAACTGACAATAAATTATAAAGGGAACCACAAGGGCAGTATCAAGTTTCAAGGTATCAGAAAGAGAAACAGTGCCTTCCCCAAGAACTGGAGCGGCATCACCATTAACGACATAACCTCGGTGTGGGTGGAGTTGTTTAGTGATGAAACCTGTCTAAAATCACAAGTCATATGTTCAGTAGCTCCAGAATCAATTATCCATGTATTATTCATAACAGAAGTGGAAACATTAAGTGCCTTACCCTAGGTACCTGCCGCGGCAATTAGAGCCGATGTTTGGCTTACTATAGTTGCTAAATCATCCTTAGTTTCTGCAACGGAGGCTCGAGGTTTGTTGAAGCGAGGATCCCGTGTATTATCCCAATTCTCGAGATACCCAATCAACTCAAAGCACATACGCTTGGAGTGTCCCATCATACCATAGTGTGGACATTTACCGAGAAGACGATCATGATTTACTTGCCCGGTTCGTGGTTGTCCAGACTTACTTTCGGACCCACCTTGGTCAGTTCGGTTGGAGGGAGCTCAGGCCTTGACTGCCATTGTTGTCGTTTTAGAACGTTGGTCCTCCATTTTCATGGCTTCCTTGCGATCCGCTTCACGCCAAACATATGCATAAGCAACTTGAAGTCCCAGTGGTGGATCTTTGTGCAATATTTCTCCACGAACTTGATCAAACACATCATCAAGTCCTCCAAGAAATAAATACACCCTTTGTCGCTCAATTGTTTTCTGAAATATTTGGACATCTTTGTCATATACCATGGCCACCTTGTTAAAGTGGTCTAATTACTGAAAGATCTATGTCAGCTCTCCAAAATAGTTAGCCAAAGACCATCCATTCTGCTTAAGACGTGAAGCCTTCTGATTCAATGAATAAATTATGGCCTCATCGTTCTCATCAAAATAAGCAGTCTTGAGAGAATCCTAGATTTCTTTCGAAGTTGACAATCGAATGTAGCGTTTCATAATTTTCGGCTTCATCGCCGACAAGAGCCAACTTTTAATTCTCCGATCTTCAGAAAACCAATCATCATATTTAGGATCATCCTCTTTGGGTGCCTTGATGGACCCACGAAAATATCTCATCTTCTTCCTTCCAGCAATATGAATTCGAATAAGAGGAGCCCATAAATCATAGTTATTCTCATCCAAAAACATCCAAATGTTGAAGTTTGAATTATCCGACTGCACCATAACTGGGGCAGTAACGGGAACCACCTTGCTATCCTCGGCATACATCTTCCACTAAGAATGGTAATCTGTGCAACGACAAGGGTAAGAGTTCGAAGACGGGAGGCACACCAGTGGTGCTGGGCACAACACGACAACGCACCCAGTTAGGGTTCGAAGATTTTCTTTCTTTTTTTACAACCTGACTCTGATACCAAGAAGAGAATGCTTTGATTGTGTATTTTATTCTTCTCATTCAAAGGTATGTATATGTTTGGGCCCAAAATAACAGTTTGGGCCGAGGGAGGGATCACTTTCGGCCCGGGAAGACGTACGGCGAGAGAGTCATGGGGGCATTCAGCTCATGGGCTTCTAGGCCTAGATCGGTTAAATCAGAGTGCAAGTCGAGTCCTAATACAATAGGGACCCTCGACGAGATCAGTAAAACTAGAAGGCGAATCCGGCTCAGTTAAGGACTAGATTCGTAGTCCTAGCAGAGATAGGACTGATTGAGGTAACGTTAATCCGGAGAGGGAAACCTAGTTCGAATAGGATTAGAACTCGGGCTCGGTGTTCTGCTACTATAAATACAAGACATTCAGCAATGGAAAGAGCCCTGCAAATCAACACAAAATTGCCCTGCGCAAACTCTCACAACTTGAGATCTTTTTTCTTTTCCTTTTTCGCTGACACATCTTCCGTTGGCATCAACAGCACTGTGGAAGCAACCGGTGATATCTTAAGTCGGCATAGATAGCTCTGTCACCGTAGAGTCGGTCGGTCTCGCAGTATCTTCCGTTGGCATCAACAGCACTGCAGCGAGAACGGTCGATTGCCTATCCAAGTCTCGGTCGAGAAGGGTTTTCGAATCCTTTTTGGTCGAGGTCATCTCATTAGCCTTCTCGGCGAGGTGAGGTGTTACAGTTATTATATTCGGCACATTGTAAGCCGAATTCGGTTCGTGAACTTTGTAAGAAATAGCAGCCTTGTCTTCAGGCTCGAGAACCCAAGAGGCCGAGACGCGTTCCTTTCTCGGCCGCAATCGCAAGACGCAGAAGTCAGTAGCGCGACCCAACGCAGCATCATCAAATTTACTCCTCGGCCGAGCCTCGGCCGACGAGTTGGCACGCCCCGCAATCACCGAAGGACGTAGTTAGCTTAGAATATATTCGGCCTGCGCGCCACGTAGGCTTTGTAATTTCTAGGGTCAACAGTATATAATCATATACAATCCTACTGTAAACAGGAAAGAATAATTACAAGATAATATCTCCTAAACTAGGAAACCCAAGATTAAAGATATCCTGGAATAACAGGAAATCTATACAAAGTTAACCGTATCCTTCAACATGTAATATCACGCTCACAAATAGAAGAATTGTGTGTTAGGAGTTGTATCTAGTTGAGTTCCAATAACGTTCAGATACTGTGAGACGTATTTTTTTGGGACTGTTTGGCAATGCATCAAGCCACTCGGTCAAGCTGTGATGTTCAAGTTTTTATTGCTACATAACCTTCCACCATCTCAATGGCATTGTAGTGAATATGACTTTTAACTATGACTCTTATCGTCTCCATGACAATCATGCAGGGCCTACAAGGGTCCCGGCACTCTCCACCTTTTAGCCAAACAATAAAACAAATCCAAATAAATCTCTCGCTCTCTCCATAACCTTCTCTCTTCGATCTTTTGGGGACTGTGTTTCTGACTCAGACCATCCCTCCCCACACGCTCACAAGTAAAAACTGCAAAAACAATAAAAGCATCTCCCCCTCCTTCCCTCCCTACCTGAATTTTCAATCTCCCTACTCACTCTTTGTTTGCATCATCATATAAAACCCTCCCCCAGATAGCCCAGTTGCTAACCTGCGGACCTCCACCCCAGGCGATGGGGGTACTGCGCCACCGCCACAACCACCATTATATAAGGCTATCAACTGTCATCACGGCCTTCACTTTTCTCTTGTTCACCTCAGCCTCAACGGCCGTAACCAGTCAAACCCAACTCGGTAAGCAACTCAGCACACCACCAAAACAACTAATTGCTAACCTCCCTTTGTGTTTTGAATCGTTCAGTAGTGACTCAGTTCTGTTGAGCTTGAGCTCGTGATGGTGAATTGATTTTTTCAGGTGGTGGGCATCATCATCAAGGTGAAGGTGGTGGGCCAGCACTGGAGCGAGTCGTGACCCACCAGAAGAGTCGACTGGGTTCATCGCCACCGAGTTGCAGATCCAAGTGCGGGAGGTGCTCGCCGTGTAAGGCAGTGCATGTCCCCATCCAACCAGGTGTCTCTATACCTCTCGAGTACTACCCCGAAGCTTGGCGCTGCAAGTGTGGCAACCATCTCTTCATGCCCTAGTAGATTAATTAAATTAAAACCTTTTGTAAGTTAATTTACTTTAATTACACTATTAGTATATAGTAGAGTCCAATTTCATTAGCTTTTAAAAATCTGGTAGTATAGTTGTTGTTGGTAATCTTTTTTTCCCCAGTATTTGGTCACTGACTGCATATACTGATTATTATTTTTTTGCTAAACGTGGGGAACAAGTGAAGTGTTGGGAATGTAACATTTATATTTTTGCTTTTTTTATTAAGTTTGCATTAATGCAAGTTAAATTATTATGGGACAGAATTAAAGTCGAGGGCATGTAATTAATTGATCACATCATATATGACACGTGTCTTTTATTTTCTAATAGAAAGATTATATTTACACATTTTAAATTGTTTTTTTTCATAATCTTTTAATTTTTTAATATTTTCTACCCATTATTAACATTTGATAAAAAAATATTAAAAAAATTAAAATAACACGCATTATCTTTGTATTCAGAATACAATGAAAAATCTGTTTATTTCTCTCTCGAGTCTAGAGTACTTTAACTAGGGAGAGGTATTTTAACGTGCTTGAAACAAAGACACGCCTTTATATAGACAGATGGAGGTACACTAAACAAAAAACTTTTTTGCATTTGTATAATAACATATGTTGTACTGTCCGATCTTTTGGGTACAATAAAAAATATCTCCTACCTAGGGATAAAGTGGTTTGGTTTTTTTTTTTTTTTTTCCTTTATCGAAAAGCTCTGAGTTCTCTCTCTCTTTCTTTTTTTTTTCTTTTTTAATTTGTTTTGTTGTCTATAAGATTTTTTAGTATGCTCCGGAGTAAATGATAAAATAACTAAATAGGCAAAATTTTGAAGCATAGAATAGCCCAGATATTAATAGAATTTTGCTGAAATGCATTTGAATATATACTGGATTTACAGCTGGGACTATTTCACATATTCCAAAAGTTTGATTGTACTTTAGTTTGATTTTAGGTAGTGAAAATTGGAAAGAAAAAAAAAAGAGGAGTTATAGTAGTACTCAGCTTTATTATGTTTTATTGTTTGATTGTTTGGTTTTTGTTTTGGAGGGCGGTTTTATTGTTTTTCCTCTGTGGAGTGTTTAATTATTATTTTGCTATTTAAGTAGATGGGCTTCCCTCCTCAACGCTTCTTACTACGGCTGGATGTTTACAGAACGTGATTGCATTCCCTGAAATCTGAATAGTACTGAGATTGTTTTGATACAGCAATGAATTATTGATTTTTGTTTGTAGAACAGCAAGGGGGAACTATTGTTTTTGTATTCAAACGGCTAATTAACGTTTAATTTACCGGTACTTTTCTTTTAAATGTCGAAAAAAAATCCGAATTCAAAACTCTTTTTTTTGTTAAAATAAAAATTATAGGAGCATATGAATCAGACATGGGTTTCCATTGCATCATATGATGAAGCTTGTTTATTAGAGACAATTGCATGGGAAGGAGAGCAACTGATGAGCAGGAATATTGTGACATAAGATATTAAAATGGATGAGACACTGTTTGTTTGTTGAACATGTCACAGATTCAGCAGTTACTACATGAATTTGCTCACTAAAATCTGTCCATCAAATAATCTTCTTCCCCGTACATTAGTTTAGAGAAAAAAAATATAAATTGTATTAGAAATAAAACTACAATCCCGGCCTGCTCTCAGCCTCATTGGCATTTTAGCAATTCAACATTTATCAATTTAGTGAAGCTGACAAATTTAGTATCACTAACATTATTAATTGTTTATATCATTTTAAAATTTACATCCATAGACACTAATAACATTATATATGACCGATGATGTTTTATAAATCTACAAACATCAACGGCCATATTCAGCCCAGGCGCCATGCTCATATACATTACACAGTACCCAAATTACCTTTCGATTTCTGTGTATAAAGTCAAAGATATGGATTTGGATCCTCGGATCTCCTTTCTGGGAATCCTAGAGATCAATTCACACGAATAGTTGATAAAAATTGTGCGGTTCCAATTAAATGTTTTTCATATTTTAAAAGTAAAGTAGCTTCGTTTTGAGTGAAATATAAAAAAATAAAAAATTATGGTTGTATGATTTTTGATCAACGGTCCGTGTGCGTTGATTTCATCCCCGAAAGATGATCCGGCGAGGATCCAATTCCGGTATATATGATCTCTTTATCTGTCGAGGGGATATGCATACGACAGCATGAGGGTAAAATCGTTTTCTTCTCCGTACCTGCATATTTATTTTGTTACCAAATCACGTTGTCTTCACTCACACTCCATATATGGATAAAAAAAATTAATTACTCCCTTAGAAGTTAGATATATTGGTTGTTACTTGTTCCGCTTTCATGTCATGGTCGTCTTTGGCCGAACCAGAATTCTCTCCTGAGCATTTCCTAGGGATCTTAGGGATCCTGCAATCATGTCCGTTCATCGTGTATCGTGTGGTCAGAAATCATTTAAAATTTAAATTTTAAAATTCAAATATGAATAGTACTTAACGAAAACTGACCGCACGATATAAAATGAACGGACAAGATTACGGGATCCCTATGATCCCTAGGGAAATGCTCAGGAGAGAATCCTGATTCTCTTTGGCCAAGCTGGTCAACCCTAATTTGTTAATTGCAGAGCCTGCAGATCTCCACAGCTACTACTTCTGCTTCACATGTGTGCGTGCCCTCTGGGTCTCTGCCATGTATGCATTGCCAAATTTTCAATATTTTTCTGAGAAGTAATAATTTTCCCGATCCCATGCGCCCATGCACGGCTATACCAGCCTATTGGTCTTTCTGGATAAATAGAAAATAAATTGTTGATTATCCCATTGTTGCATGCACGTTTGCGTTGTATAGTTGACTTTGTTGGAGTTTTGAGCCTCCTTTAGTCCCACCTCAGGGAACTCAAGTTCCGATCTTTCTTTTAGGTTAGTCATCTTTATTAGTGATTAGATTTTGGACGATTTGAAATGAGAATTGAGGTTTAGGCCATTAATTATGTGGATTAGGTTGATGATTATACTATAATATTGATATTATATTAATATTAATATTAATTAATCAAGACAAGGGCCTTTGTTGGGGCACTTGTGGCCTAAGAAGTTAAAATTAATCACAGTTCATTAATTTTAATTTCAAATTAATTTTTTAATTAAATTAATTAAAAACCATTTTGATTAATAGACACAATTGTTTGGAAAGAGTTGTGTGGTTTCAGATACATCCAAAAGATATTTGAAAATGTATGAAATAGCCTATATAATTGAAGATTCAGTTCCATCGTAGATTATTTTTTTTCCCTATCTCTCCCTTACAAAACCTTACAGAGAGTAAACACATAAAGCAATTTGTCAGAATTCTATAATCCGGTGCGGATTGTAGGATTAGATAGTTGTATCCTGATCGGGCATACATCATCGAACCACAAGCATAAGAATGGGACGAGAATACTACTCGAAAGACAAAGCTTTTGCGCTAGCCTCTATCTGTGATTTAATCAAGTTAGTATCATTTAATTCCTGTAATTATTTCTGTTATTTCATTATGTATTGTAAGTATTTTTCGTTAATAAAGAATTAGTATTTCAATTTCTGTTATTTTATTATTTTCTGAATTGTTCTCCAAACTTGATGTTTAGTTACATATCATCAATTTACAATTTTGTCAATTTTAATAACTAATTAAAATATGATCTCAAACTTCTTTTCGGGGGAAAAGGATCCTTTCCGGATCCTCTTTGTGGGGATCCAAGGGATCAATCAATCATATTCGTTCATCGTATATCGGGCGATTAGAAATGATTTAAAATTTAAAATTGAATATAAATAGAATCTAACGAAAACTGACCGCACGATGTACGATGAACAGACGTGATTGCTTGATCCTTCGGATCTCCACAAAGAGGATCCGGAAAGGATCATTTTCGGTATCAATCCAATGGATTCTATGGGCTTTTCCCGCCATTGTTTTTTTTTGTTTTTTGTTTTGTTGGGGGGGGGGGTGTCTTGCTAGGGCTGCATGTAGGTCGTAAAGTTCCTCAATATATTATTTCATACGAGGTCTTATAGTTGGAGAATTTAAGAATTTCACATCGAAAAAGTGATAAAATTAAGTGGTTAAACTTTTAATTCGATCAAAAGCTTTTAAAGTAAAACCCTTACATCTACATTGTAACTTGTAGGCAGATATGCTTAGTAATAATTTATTTTACTATAAATTCAAAATCTTGACCCAGTTGTTCTTCTTAGACTCGAAAAAATATTAAAGAGCAAAGGAAATTGCAATGAAAAGAGCGATTTGACCACACATGAACATAATATGTAATATTCGATGGATCAGTTTCGTCCAACCCAAACATGTAACCCGAGAAAACAATGATATCGTTTGGTGCTCTCTTGTTAGCCGTTACAGCCAAAATCAGCACAAATATGTATGAGCAAAGCCGCACATTATGCCGAATCCACTGTTTCACGAGGTTCCTCCCTACTCGCATTATATCATGGACAATTGCTTTTTTACAATTCTATTTCCAATTTGGTGAATGCGAATAAGCTTGTAGATAAAATTTACAAACTAATTGATTTGTCATCAATAAAAATAAGCATGTTTATTAAAACCTAAATATTAACTCACTTATCAATTTTCACATCATTTAATTTACAAAATTTAATCAGCCTGACATATTATATTTTTAATTATTCACAGGTAAATAAAAAAGCGAGTTTATTATTAATATTTAGAGAAAATTTGAAATAGATCCAATTTTATAAACCTACTTTTAAAATATGTCTAATTTTTAATAACTTTTGACTTTTGAAATATGTCTAATTTTTAGTCCAATTTGACCTATATCAAAAGACCCCTAATATTTATATGTTAGCTGGATTAAGTGAGACATTTTGACAAAAGAGGACAGGGAGGTGGGATGGTGGCTCCAAAATGGACAAGGATTGTCTGCCCTCCTAGTTGTGGTGCCCTTTCATGCCCTCCTATTTTGTGTAGTCACGGTTAAACCACGTCAATATTTTATATTTTTATTATTTTTTGTCTTATTATCTTATTAAAAAATTAATATAAAATATTGACGTGGTTTAACTGTGACCGCACAAAATAGGAGAGCATGGAAGGGCACCACAACTAGGAGGGCAGACAATCCTTATCCCTCAAAAATATACATTGAAATTAGGCAAAAGGCCTACCGCTACTGGTCTGGTCTATCAACTCTGAGGACAGTGGGGTCCCGACTCCCGTCAGTTTGCCCATTCCCACGCACATGA